CAGTCACGAAAGCTTTTGGTTAAGATTTAATATGAAGTACATCAATTACATTATCGTATGTGATCCTTGTACAATTATTATGAACACAAACAACATTGGAATAATACAACCTCAAGAAGTTTGCAACCTCACAAGTGGATAGAGTCTACCAGACAGCCAACAATTAAATGGATGGTGGCCATCTTGGAAAATATCTACCCCTTCCACCTCAGGAAAAAACACATCTGTGATGGCCTTAGATTTAAACATCGTTCTGAGGGCTAACCCGAGCGGTGTGCCAAATTCCATCCTTGTGTAGTGTGAGTGAGTCGGAGACGAGGTTTTGTAGAGGCACCTTCTTTATTGAGCACACACGCTCTCGCCTGCACACTCTACAGTCGCTAGCCTATACACAACACTAGACGTCTAACAGCAAAGGTGCTGACGGAGACAGCCAACAACTATCTAGCACTGCAATATCGAGTGAATACAACAGCGACGATGGCGACGAGACAACAGCAATGACGAGACGATCCAATCCCAGAACCGGCAGCCTCGAGCTCCACCTCTCGGCCCCTTTTATGCTACCTGCGCGGCCTGGCTCTGCCCTGCCTGTGGCTCCCTTCTCTTACCCACGAGCAGGTTCCAGGGGCTTCCAGGTAGGGCCCTCCATGACCGTTGTCCTCCACCCTGCCGACACACCCGTGTATATGCTCACCGGCGTGTGTACTGTTTGTCCACCGCAGTTGCCGCTGCTGGTCACCAGCCGGCGCTATTACACTACACTTGTATCACCAAACCCACAATGTAAGGAACAGCTACCATAACCACCATGGCGTGAGGCCTTCGACCAGCAGTGGATTGACAAAATTTCATAAATAACTCATGTTATATATAATAAATATCTCGTTCAATAATTATTTCATGTTGTGATCTTCTCTTGAAAGCTGATCACTGGCGCCTACACTAACGGTTCCCGAGATGCGGAAGGCCAGTGCGTGTGTCACGTCTATCTGCCGGACCCTATCTTCCCGGCCGACGCGGTGGAGCAGCTGCAGCTCCGTACTCAGACGCTCGCAACGGCCGTCACGCTCGAGTCACAGAAGGTGACCTCTTCATGATTCACCAGGATATGGGAAATAGCCTATTTAAGACAACATGAAATGTCACTGCGTTTGTATTCATGCCTGTAGTGTTGTAGAGGCCTCTGATGTGTTCTGAGGCTGTGCCACGTGCTGTTCGGCTTAATGTCTGTGGTTTAGTTTCACATGCTGGGAGCTCCTTCACCAACTGAATTCTAAAGTCGAGTTCCCAGTTGTGGATTAAAATGTGGGATAAGAACAAGTATTTTCTTTAAATTTGTATACCGTTTCTCTTTCGCCGTTTCGAATCTTACTACAATCGCAAACTTGCCAGAGTTTATGGGCACTTTCTCTACTCCAGAGCAGTAGAAGCAAATAAACAGGAAAGTCTACAGCACTGCCAACAACACAGTCCCATGCATTTCATATAAATCGTTATTTGTTAAGTGAACATGTGTAAAAGATCGATTAAAATGCGTTGGAAGGATATAATATTCAAATTTCGCCTGCAGGTGGCAGAGAACCACGCCATGCTGGTGCGCTACACGGCGCTCCTGCGGAACCTGACGGTGCGCGTGGAGCGAATGGAGCAGGGCCATGACCGCTACACAGAGCTGGACTTTGAGCTGCTGCGGGTGGAAATCAGGGAGATGGAGCAGCTGGTACAGCAGCTGAAGCTGGAGGTCTCCAGCGCCACGCTCGATCATCTCCACCTCTCGGTCAGTCGCACAGTCCTCGCGCATTTAACGTTTAGTGTCAACTCTTTTGTGACCTGTCAAAGGTCCTATTTGGCCCTCAGTAAGGAAAAAATGTTTCCCACCCATGATCTGTAAGAGCTAGTCTTTTCTTTTTTACGTCGTATAATAACAGCTGTTTCCAGACATTTGCCAACACTTTCCTTGTCTATAATGTCTTTTTAAACATTATTTAGTCCACTTATTTCAACATTTCTGCCACACAGTAAACCCTTAATATTCACAGGAGACACAATTGTGGTTTTGCGTAATCCGCGACGAATCTATCGTAGCGCTGTTTGAAATTCGCGGGGTTACATTTTGAATCTTCGCGGCCGTAGCTCGTGACAAGTTGACAAGGAGTCGTGAGGCATGGGAGTGCAGAAGTTGCCCCCACGACGCCGCTTCTCCCTCTCACTCTGCCCTTGTCTGCCGTAGTTTGACACGCGAGTGCTTTCCTTTGCATTTTTTGGAAAACAATTTGGAAATGTATAATATTAATTTATGTATTCATCGATATTTGCACTTTTAAATATATTTATATTCATCCTTATTCAAGGTAAGTTAATTAGCACAGTAATACTATACAATATGTGCATTAATTTTCTAACTAAAGACGGTCACCGCATTGTGCTTTCGGATGTACTACTGCGGCCGTCTGGAACGCTCTTCTTTCCAATATTAGGAAGCCACTGGACCTATGCACTTTTAAATCATCTAGATTGACAAACTAATTTCTTTAGAACTGCTTTTTGTGTTTAGTTTGTTGTCCTTCTCCCGCACCTCAGATTAGCACGATTGGCTATGTACAGTGCAAAAGAAGTCCAACATACATACGATAGATGCACATGTTTATGTTTAAACGTAATATATTTTTATACCCAACCTAATTTTCCTGATAAGCTTCAAGTAGCAATATTCACGGACATAATATTCACGCCAGTAATGTATCCCACGTGAATATTATTGTATTATCGCAGCTCAGACTCATCCATTATTACCAGGTTTTAGCAGTTTCACTTCTCTATTTAACTTCCCAATGATTTTACAACACAGCAATCGCCACTCTTTGAGGTGTTTTTTTTTCCTTCTGTCTGATGTCGCAATTATTCTGCTGTGATATTGTGATTCCTTCTTGTTCAAAAAATTGCTTAATTAGCTCCACTACACTTCCAGGAATTGTTCACTGAATATTATATCCCTCATTGATATCATCTTGTGTCTGGATAGTATGAACCTTATTATCTGCCACTTTTGTTTTCCATGTCCACTCGTGGAAATACATTTTCATTGTAGAATAGATTATTCCTTTCATATGTGGCCAGTTCGTAATTAAGGTGAATGATTATGATGAATTGATGAAGGTTCACGCTGTTTATGTTAATGATGTGCACCATTTCTGTCTAGCATCTCACTGGGCTTGAGCAACATCTCCCGCCGTGCGCTGCCACAGTCTCTAATGTTGCCGGTGATGGTGGTGATGATAACGATGTTGACAGTAATAAAGATGTTCATAGGATGGTGGTGGTGATGAAGATGATCGGCACTGTGCGTGGCCTAGCTCTCTGGCTGTCACTTGCGCAGTCAATTATGTCACACTGGGCAACCAACAGAACACACAAGTATGACCACCTAAGAGTTGGTGCGATGAAAAAAGTTCAAGTACAGGAGTGAGATGAATCGTGGTATAGCAGGACCGTGAGGAATGGCAAGGCCTTATATCCCATTATAATTTATTGGTTGAATTATGCCAATGGTTTGTAAACGACAGAACAAACTAGACTGTCATGCTCTTTTATCACATACAAACATGGTACACATCAGAGTATTTGTTGCAATGTAAAACTATGGTGTTGATGTTCAACATGAATAAAAATGTGAGAACATTGTAATGACGTGTGGTGCATTAATGATGTCCTTGTCTACAGATCCAGAACGTCAGCGTGGTGGTGAAGACGCTGGAGGTCTACGACAGGAACAACGTGCTGCTCATCCGGCGCCAGGTGGACACTCTGCGCAAGCGCCTGGAGAACTGTCAGGAAGAGACCAACACTACAATGCGGCTACCCAGCAGAACGCAATCCCAGCCCCCCAGCAATAACCCAACGCAGCCCCGCAGAAACAAGCCAATCCAGCACGCCAGCAACGTGGCGGGCCAGTCTTCCATTGGTGAGTCCCATAAACAAGCGAATTTGAACATTGCAGTGAAACATGTGTGTGTGCTGTGTATATTACGTTACCTGGAGTAGTAGCATCATAACGCTCATACAATATTACTACTAATGTGTAACTTTTGTTTCCATGTATCTCTCTTCTCTATCTTGTTCTCATCTCATGAAATATAATCTCATGTCTGCAGCTCTCTCGCCTCTTTCTCTTGTTCATATCTCTTTCATCTCACAAATCTGTATCTCTCTACATCTCAATGAGCCACATTTCTTAACAGGGTCATAGCTTGGTGGGCCGGTCTACGCCCCACCAGTCGAAGAACCCCTTGTTAAATAAAGGTGCTTATTAATGTCACATCACTAATCACGAGGCATGTCCCATGCAAATATGATGAATTGTCACGATTCTTCTTGGATCCGATTATTATTTTGATCATTATTGGATCAAACATTATTGTATGTCTCATTTTACAATACTGTTTGTAATGTTGAATTATGTTGTTCTGGAATGCTTGTGTTCTTATCCTAATTATAATTTATATGAGCATAAATGCAGCGATGGCCAATAGGTGAATTGCAATCCATGCGTGGGCTTCAAAATATTTTTTGTGGATCTCATTACAAATGAAATATTAACATAAGCATAACACAGTTTTCATTACGGCTGATGAAAAATAAAAAATGTCGTCCAAGAATTCATACATTAAAAAATCAATAGCTTCTAATCTTCATTTGAAGCTTTCGTGACTGCAGGAATCCATACTCTTCTTTCGGTAAAGTCACGTTGGTATAAAATAAAATAAATCACGTTTTGGGCACAAAACAAGTGTCCACCATCCAATAGCTTCTACTAATAGATGGTGCTCGTATTATATTAAGCTGTAGTAATTTATAATGCAATGTTTATCCACCTCTATATTATAAAAAAACAGCCTTACAATTCATATGCAGTACAGGAGGAAACGTATTTAGTATGACAAATGGAATCTAGTTACATGAATAAAGTAACTTCACTTGTTTAGAAAAATATATATATATGCTTGGGCAGTACACGGTTAAATATGGTAATTGTTGGTAATAGCTTTCGGGTGCTTCGTGAAGCCTGTTGAGATCCACCAAAGTGGATCCCAGTGCTTGGTGTTTTGGGCAACGCTGATAAAAAGTAACCAATATCATTAATACCATTAAAAACAACTTGAATCAATTTCAATTGCATAAGATAAACAATTCAATGTATATATCTTTACCATAAATATAGACTTGAATTGATAAATAATTAGATGCTTACTAAATATACAATGTCCTTTAATTACATGGTATTTCAGCCGATTTTAAGGCAAATTTTTAAAGGCAAATTTCACATCTGATATTCTCGGCATTCAAACAAGAACTTTTTTTTGTCCTTACAGGAGCGTGCAGGCATGGTGGTTTGCAGAATGCCAGTGCATCACATATTCACAGGCTGAACTGGCAAGGTGTAGGGGCCATATACGGAGCTTTTGGGAAGGATCCACTCCCAGCCAGGGGACGTGAAGACATGTACTGGGTGATGTCCAGCAGCTCAAATTCTTTTACTTCATTTCAGCTGTATGCCAACTATCGGGCAATGCAGACCTTCGTGAAAATGGAACAAAGACAAATGCAATGTAACTACGATTGTGGCCATGGTATGGACGTAGTGGTATACAAAAACAATTTATTTTACAGATGCAGTACAGGTAACGTGATGTGTAAATACAGTCTCTCAACATTTTCCATTAAACGGGCACAACTACCCCAAGCTGCAGGAAACAATAAATTCCCTTACCTGGGCTCGGCCTACTCTGATATGGATTTCTGCGTGGATGAGCAAGGTCTGTGGGTCATTTACTCAAACGATAGCAAAGTTTCACTTGCTAACATTAACGATGATTCTTTGCAAGTTATCAGCACGTGGACCACTTCACAATACAAACCATCAGTCAGCAATGGCTTCATGGTGTGTGGAGTCCTCTACCTCACTCGCACGTTTAGCCTTGAGGCTGAAGAGATCTATTTTGCATTTGACACCAACTCTAACCAGGAAAGGTCTTTGAGCATCATAATTGATAAGCCCTTGGAAAAGATGAGCAGCCTTAGCTATAACCCAGCCGATCACAAGCTGTACATGTATAATCAAGGATATTTAGTTACCCATAAATTGTCCTTTAAACACGTATAATTTTAGTTAAATGCTAAATGGTTTAGTAGTGAAGATTAAAATGGAAAGTTAGTCATGAGGTGGCATCGTGCACTTTCACACATGCTGTCGACACGAGTTCTCTCCACCTCTTTTGTTAATGCAATGAGTTTTGCTTTATTCTCTGAGTGTAATCTTTGGACTATCTGTTGCTGATGATTTTATATATCTAGCATTGCTTAATGAATCTCAATATACTTTTGCATGAGGGTCTTGAATTTGCATGTTTGGCCATTTGCATTATTGATTTGCATGCTTGAGAAAACCAGAGAGAATGGACACATGACGGGATACTGTTGTATATGTAGGTTATGAAAATTTGATGAAAATAATAAAAATTAAATGAAATTTGAAAGTTGCATAATTGTCCGAAATTATGTTAATTGCTGTAATTTGCGCATAAATTATGCTAATTCGAGAGATAATAGTATTGACTTATGCGAGTGTGTGTGATTGTGCTAATGCAAGCCGTTATGATAATTAGGCCCCGCCTCGCTGACGAGGGTCGTATCCAATCGGAATGAGACAATTAATCGTATGCAGTTATGCAGGTGCTGTGAGCATGTCAGATTAAACTCGGCTTCGTTGTTTAACTTCGTATCATCGATCGGTATAATACAATTATTATTGCTTTAACATATACTGAGTGTATGTGTATTTATGTCAGATCTCCAGATTCAGATCTCAACACAGGATACAGCTCTTATGCATGAAATTTCGGAAAGAAACACACCACCACTTCTGCGTTAATCAATTTGATTTTCTAACTAAACTTTAACTCTAAAAGATGCAACTCTCAATCTTGGAATTTCAACACAGTATCAACACAGTATCATCATGACTGCGTTGTTTCACTTTGATGACGGCACATGTGATTCCTTCCCCTGCGTAACGCGAGCTCAGTTGGTGAGAAAGAGAGTCGTTAAAAACATGCATACGCTATTCTAAACAAAAACCTTAACTTTATAATATGCAAATTCGTATACTTGAAAGTTGCCCACACGGTCCTGCATTCATTCATAGATCCATAAGCAACTTTCAAGGCAATTCTTATCACGTTGTTTCACTTTGGGTATCAGAGCAATTCATTCTTATACAGCGTAACACAAGCACGTGCGGCAATTATGAACGAAAGGCCCTTAAAATTATGTGACGATATTCATACGAAAAGACAAAAAAACAGTTATTATTCCCAAAGGCACAAATATATCAATAGATCCATCGGCAAGATTATATGATTACAGAAATGGCTTGGAGTGAGGGTGTGCGATGGGGTGTGCGCTTTCCCCTGAGATCCTTATCTTGGGCCAACTTTTAATTAATTGTGGACCAGATCGCCTGATAAGGAAACCGGTTGGATACACTATTCCCCCCCCCCCCCTTGAGCGTAGCTCCGTGGCGAAGGTGTCAAGGATTAATTCGTATTGATGGATATGTTGGTAATTTATGCGATTAGAAGTACAACCCAAAACAAAATAATTAAGGAGGAAAATGTATTACTGTACTTATAAACGACGGGGTTATCACTTGGTCTGTCGCGATGCTTTTACGGCCACTGATGGTTCACGTCTTGAGGATTAGGCTTTAGTTAATGACTTGTGTGTGTGTTTTGCGTGATATGGATTGTGTGGAGTAGGCCAGTGTTCGGAATTAATTATTTGCGTCAAGCAGACGCCTGGTTGTAGGCGCGGCGTTCGGTCGGTAGAGGGCGCTCACAGCTCGCTCGTAGCGGGCGCGGTTGTACGACCGGTAGAGGGCACGCGTCTGCTGGTCGTGTCGTTGGAGTGATGATTACTGATTGCGCGCTATCTGGCGCTGGGCGAGACACGTTTGTGGCGATGCTCCTTCGGATGGTGTTCATTCGCACCGTGTAGCCTGTCGCTAAACAGCGAATCTCGCCATTCTGGCGAGTTGTAGAAACTTCTGCGTCGGTGGTGGTTGATCTTCTGATGGTTGATCTTCTTCTGCAGGGATGAGTTGAGCTGGTTCTGCTGGTCGCTGAGCTTGTCCGCTGGCTGATGAGTTGATTTCAACGCTGGAGCGCTTTATTTTTATGCCAAAAATCTCTCCCCTTGACTCCTCCTTACAAGGCGGAGCTCCTTTTGATTTAGCTGTGTGTCGTGGTCCGGAGTGTGTGTGCGTATGTGTGTCTGTATGTGTGTCAGTGTGTCTGTATGTGTGTCAGTGTGTGTGTCATTTACGGCCTGATTCTGTTGTCCTCCTCTTTCCATAAACCATAAACAAAACCAGAGGCTTCAAATCGTTCCGAAGGTGTCCCTCTGTCTGCGTTACACAATCTGGAGGGAGGGGCGAGATTCCCCCCTGTATGACATTTTCCGACGCACAAGGGAAGGGTTAAGGTTTGTAAAGTTAACATTTATTCCATCATAGTTTTTGATACCGTACCACTCACAGTTAGGATTCTGTCTGTGACTCCGGGTATCTGCTTTTATTTTCACGAGGATATGATGCTCTCTTGAGCGTATGCATATTCTTATCACGTGCTGCGGGAAGACAAAGACGGCCAGGAGGCTCTCTCTCTCTCTCTGGCTAGCCCTCGGTTTAACGTCGCTCAAATATAATTTGGTTTAATGTTTAACAAGGTTGTGTTTTATTTCCGTTACCCTGGCTCTTCCTCGGTTTATTAATTTTCGTTTCCCCGTCTGCATACTTTATCATTGATATCATTTTATTTCCGATATCCTGAGCCCAGAGGTAAGCCTCTCGATTGTTGGAATTTGTACTTCTTGGTGTTTGCAAGGTAGGGTAGCAGCAAGGTGCATCGTAATTTTAAGGTGAATAACTTTAGTATGAATGTTATGTATGAACCTATGTATTGTAATTCTTTAACTAAAGTTTGTCCGCTGGGTTTGTCTGACGCCTGCTGCGCGGCTCTAAGGGATTTCCCCCCCTGCCCCCCTCCTCCTCTGATCCCTCTCTGTTTGCACGTGTGGTGTGTGTGTATGTGTTGTTTATTATCTTTTAGCTCTCCCGTGAACACAGATGGCCTGCGATAATTCCTTGTCTTCTGGTGTTATCTTTGCTGTCTCGCGCTGTGGGAAGACAAAGACGGCCGGGATGCACTCTCTCTCCCTAACCCTTTGAGTTAACACTGCACTATTATTATTTGCTTATGTCCTGATGTTAGAGAATTCGTTTTGACTTAGGAAAAATTCTGATTGCCAAAATACGCTTCGGTCAGGTTGTGTAGAAATGATTAAAGATGAAAATAACATTTAGTATTGAATTAATAAAGGGGCAACAGTTCACTGATATAGATTATGGCCTGGTTTTTAATTGGAGTGGGTGTGATGATCGATGTTAGCTTATTCTCGTTGTTGAATTTTGAACTTTTGACCGTCGTTTTAATAGAGGAAAGCTGTTTACTCGCCTGCATGCGTCGGTTTGTCTGTGCTGACGAACGGGGGGCGAACTCTGGGGGTCCAGAATTCCCTAACCTCTTGGCCACACCGAGAGTGTATGGGTACATCAATTTTGATATTTGTTTGCGAAATCGTCTCCTGGCAGTATGGCGATTCCACCGATAGCCGCTAAACTTTCCTGGACCCGGGAGGTATTATTTATTAAATTTTAATTTAATGGGCTTTCCATGACCTCCATATGCTGTTTGCTGGGAGGGTTTGTGTGTTTTCATACATTATTTCTGTTAAAAAAAGAAATAATATCGGCAAATATTCTAATTGATATTAATTGTGTGGTGTTGAAGTGTTTACAAGTTGTAGTGTTGACGTGTTTACAAGCTGTAGTGACGTGTTTACAAGTTGTGGTGTTGACGTGTTTACAAGTTGTAGTGATGACGTGTTTACAAGTTGTAGTGATGACGTGTTTACAAGTTGTAGTGTTGACGTGTTTACAAGTTGTGGTGTTGACGTGTTTACAAGTTGTAGTGATGACGTGTTTACAAGTTGTAGTGACGTGTTTACAAGTTGTAGTGTTGATGTGTTTACAAGTTGTAGTGATAGACGTGTTTACAAGTTGTAGTGATGACGTGTTTACAAGTTGTAGTGTTGACGTGTTTACAAGTTGTAGTGTTGACGTGTTTACAAGTTGTAGTGATGACGTGTTTACAAGTTGTGGTGACGTGTTTACAAGTTGTAGTGTTGACGTGTTTACAAGTTGTAGTGATGACGTGTTTACAAGTTGTGGTGACGTGTTTACAAGTTGTAGTGACGTGTTTACAAGTTGTGGTGTTGACGTGTTTACAAAGTTGTAGTGTTGACGTGTTTACAAGTTGTAGTGTTGACGTGTTTACAAGTTGTAGTGATGACGTGTTTACAAGTTGTAGTGTTGACGTGTTTACAAGTTGTGGTGTTGACGTGTTTACAAGTTGTAGTGATGACGTGTTTACAAGTTTTAGTGTTGACGTGTTTACAAGTTGTAGTGTTGACGTGTTTACAAGTTGTAGTGACGTGTTTGCAAGTTGTGGTGTTGACGTGTTTACAAGTTGTAGTGATGACGTGTTTACAAGTTGTAGTGATGACGTGTTTACAAGTTGTAGTGACGTGTTTACAAGTTGTAGTGTTGACGTGTTTACAAGTTGTAGTGTTGACGTGTTTACAAGTTGTAGTGATGACGTGTTTACAAGTTGTAGTGACGTGTTTACAAGTTGTAGTGATGACGTGTTTACAAGTTGTAGTGATGACGTGTTTACAAGTTGTGGTGTTGACGTGTTTACAAGTGGTAGAGACGTGTTTACAAGTTGTAGTGATGACGTGTTTACAAGTTGTAGTGATGACGTGTTTACAAGTTGTCGTGTTGACGTGTTTACAAGTTGTAGTGTTGACGTGTTTACAAGTTGTAGTGATGACGTGTTTACAAGTTGTAGTGATGACGTGTTTACAAGTGGTAGAGACGTGTTTACAAGTTGTAGTGATGACGTGTTTACAAGTTGTAGTGATGACGTGTTTACAAGTTGTCGTGTTGACGTGTTTACAAGTTGTAGTGTTGACGTGTTTACAAGTTGTAGTGTTGACGTGTTTACAAGTTGTGGTGTTGAAGTGTTTACAAGTTGTAGTGTTGACGTGTTTACAAGTTGTAGTGATGACGTGTTTACAAGTTGTAGTGATGACGTGTTTACAAGTTGTAGTGATGACGTGTTTACAAGTTGTGGTGTTGACGTGTTTACAAGTGGTAGAGACGTGTTTACAAGTTGTAGTGATGACGTGTTTACAAGTTGTCGTGTTGACGTGTTTACAAGTTGTAGTGTTGACGTGTTTACAAGTTGTAGTGATGACGTGTTTACAAGTTGTAGTGTTGACGTGTTTACAAGTTGTAGTGTTGACGTGTTTACAAGTTGTAGTGATGACGTGTTTACAAGTTGTGGTGTTGACGTGTTTACAAGTTGTAGTGATGACGTGTTT